TTTTTTTTCCCTTCAATTCTCCTTTGTTTTTGACTAGATAATAATCACAATAAAACTGTATGACTTCTTCTATATCATTGATTTCACCTACACCCTCTATGAGTTAATGGAGCCTGATTTAAAATGCAAGTTTTTAATATTTGTTTTAGTATGATTATATAGTTAATGACGCATTTGCAATATAGGTTTTTTTTTTTTTTCTTTCTTTTTGCTTGGGTTTTTTTCCCGTTCATTTCTCTTTTGTTTTTGACTAAGATAATAATGACAATAAACTGTATGACTTCTTGTAGAACATTGATTTCACCTACACCCCCTCTGAGTTAATGGAGTCTAATGAGTTATCATTGTTGGATGAAATACACATTCACTTGGTTTCTAACCACATAGAAATAGAAAAGATAAAAAAATAGTCATTTTTGTTGAAATTGAATTAATTGTAACTTTAGTAGATAAAGACACATGTATCTTTTTTTTTCTTATTTTTAAAGGATAGAGATTTCATTCAACGAATAAGGTATCGAGAGACTTAATAGTTCCAACCAATTCCCAAATTACAAAGGATCCAATACAGAGGAACATAAACTAGCCACTCAAACAGAAGCAGAAAAACCAAGCAAAATAAACTAGCCAAACGCAGTAGAACACTCAACTCTTTAGCAAGCAGACCACTAACCACAACAAATCCACAAATAAAAGAAATAGGGATTCAAATAAAGGACATAAGAAAAATAACACCATTGAACCAAAGGACCTGGTGATCATCTTTCTTCCTCTTGTTCACTAGCAATGAGCAATTCTAACTCTCGCTTCAAGCCAAGTATTTTTTTTTTGCTTTCTTTTGTTCGGAGTGTGTGATAGTATGCGATTTTCACTATGGTTAGAATTCATGCGGCTATCATTTTTCCTTCTCGTAGTCTATTATCCACTTACTCGATTTCGCAGATATGTCTAGGTGAAAGAGGCCCGACAGTTTGCCTGTCAAAATCCGAATCTGTTGGCGAAGAGAAAGAAATAAATGAGTGGTCGACATTCGACAAAACTTCCTTCTTGGGCAGAGGGGTATACCGTTATCATGCCAAACTAACAAGTCAATCAAGCTCGATTCTTTTGCAAGAGTCGGTTTTTTTTTATTGAGAATCAATTATCCATAAAAACCAGAAAAATCGAACTGAAACCAGTTTTTCGGTTCTAAACTGGCCCCTGACGAAAAAAATTATCATAACCGAAACGATATGACGACTTAAAAAACATGAACGGTTCCTATGAAAAAAGACAATAACCGAATGGAACCCACCCCTAGAATCTTTATTTATATGGTAATTAATCGATAAATTTGTTCCCATAATAAAGAAAAATACCTTAAAATAAAATTAAAATATTTTTTACATTCGAAATTAAAGCTCTGTTGGCGCTTTCTGAGAATTTTCAAAAAAATTATCAAGTTTAGTAATTTAAATTTTTTTTTACGGGATTTTAGTTTCTATTTCAGGTAAATAAACCAAAAGTGCAAAATCTATAAAAGACAATTAATTGAACATGAAAAGAAAAGGACTAAAAAAACAGCATGTACAATATAAAAATTATAGCATTGGCACAATGAAGTGCAAAAATCAGAATCAATCACAGTTATCACGGATTGTACGAAATGGCGCAGTAGATAATCTAGCCATTCAGGGTTTGTAAAGATATTTTTATTTTGTTTAGTACCTTCTAACAGGGGCGGATCCAGGAAAAAAATTTGGGAGGGACTAAAGCAGTTGGAAGGCTGCCTAGCAATTGTTAGACAGATATATTTTCCTGTGAAAAATGCACTGTTATAATATGAAATGCCATACTTTTTATTTGTATTGCACTATAAAGTATAACATTTAAGTATGAAGTATAAATATATTTGTTGGAAGAGTGTGGTTATCTAACTATTAAGTAGCCACGAGAAGGCCTACTGTGGTATTAATAGTTCTAGCAGTTCTCTTACGAATCATTGAAATGCATGTTCTTCTTTTTTAAATTTACTCTTAAATTTTTTAATTGTACGTAAGATCAAACAAAATATTATAAATAATGTTGAAAGTGTACTTAAAAAATATGATGTAGTTAAAACTAATTAGTAAATAGAACTATACAATAATTTATAATAGTTATAGAAATTCGTATAAATTGGATATTTTTATATATATTTAATCAACACACAAACACACACACATATATATATATATATATATATTAATAAATTTAATTTTTAAGTCTTAATTTTTGGTGAAAAATGTCAGGAACTAGCTGATAAAATTTATTTCCTATCTAGTCTGCTATTTGTGTGTTCTTTTGATGTTGATAGCTCGATTTATGTTAATAATTGTACTTGTATGGCCTTAGATGCTGTTATGTCGAGATGTAGCCGTGATTGGCAGGTTTGATTAAGCTAGGCCTTGATGTTAGGCCTAGTTTTTGATGTGTGATCAGTGGATCACCGGTTGTTCTTGGACTATGTAACTTCATTTGAGTGCAATTTGATCTATCGTTTGAGAAAAAAAAAAAAAAGTCTTAAAGTATATACATACATATATACTAAGAAAAATTAAAAGTTTGGGGGGGGGACAATGCCCCCCCTTAGCATACTCTGGATCCGTCCCTGCCTTCTAAATTGGAGGGCCGAGTGGTCAGTGATGACTGGTCATGGTCGACGAGTTGACAGCGAAATTCGACAGCCGGTGAACGTAATCCGCATAGCAAATGGTAGAAAGCGCAGCAATTTGAGCGAGGGAAAAAGAGAGTTACGAGTTACGTCAGGGCCGGCCCTGACTAATGTTAAAGTGGGCATTGGCCATGGGCCCCTAAATATTTGGGGCCCCAAATTTATATCTACATTATATATAATATATATCTGTATGGATTTTTGTTAGTGAATTTTTCTACCAATTAAAAAGCCCACAAAAAAATTAGTTTTTATTGGCCCAAGCCCAAACATATATAAGGAAATTATCATAAGCAATAAAAAAAAATCAAAGTCACTTTTTCTTTTGGAATTGGAAGCAACGGGAAAGGTAAGTGGAGAGAATATCAAAATAATGTTTCCATCAATATTCCTCATCTAACATTTCCACACAACTTCCCATGCTCAGATAAAGATGGTAGGGAAAGAAAAAAAAGTATAAAGGTGGTAGACTAAGATGACAACAAGGATACTTGGGAATGAAGAGTAATACAATTTCCGTCTCGTAAACACCATTGTGCACTATACTCCTCCCCATTTTTATAGCACCGTGCTTTGCTTTTCTTTTTCCTTACGTCTATTTCTAAGTTGTACTTTCTAACGGTCGGAAATTTTTTTGAGTGTAGCGGATAAACAATTTGAAGCAACGACTTCGACGATTAAGCATTCCTATTCAGTCTTCAATTGATTCTTCTATTTATTCGCGAAAGTGAAACACCCAACCGAGAGACCTACTACAATTATTATGGTTTTTTGGGTTTGAAGATCATTATCCAAGGCATAAATCAGGTTATATTTCTCGATTATATTTTATAATTTTGCTGTTTTATTTTCATTGTTTGATTCCCAGACTCTTTTTTTATGTGTTTGTCTATTATTATTTTTCAGTTTAATTAAATGTATGTGTTGAAGAAAGGGTCCCTTACCGAATTTTCTCCATGGGCCCCAAAAATGTCAGGGCCGGCCCTGCCAAGGTGATTAGGTGAAGAGCAGACTTGGTTACTTATGCTAATATAATATTAGTTTGGGCAATTGGTAAAATACTGGTCGAAGACCAGGAAGAGAAGAAGGGCGGACGAATTGAGTCGCCCTCTCTGCGGTTTAACTGAAAACACTCCTTGGGTTCTTATAAAAAGCCGTGGGTGGTTCTCGCCTCCCTGTTCCCGGGGCTCCCGAGTCTTTACGGGGAGACGAGGCTTGAGACGAGGTGCCTGATTTTTTTTATGGGATGTGCAAAAGGTNNNAAAAGAAATTAAAGATTATAGTTGTTAAAAAATAGGTTTGGGCTTCAGCCCAGCCCAGGTCTCAAATGAATCCGTTCATGTACACCAACAATTGTTAGATTGGCTGATGATTAAACAGTTATACATTCTTACAAAAATACATTTTTAATTTATGTTATGAAATTTCATACTTTTATTTATATTTAATTTTAAAAGTATTAAATATGTTATTTGAATACAAATATATATATATATATATATTCATGAAAAGAGTATGACTATACAACTATTAGTCAACCTAAAAAAATCTTACGATAATTTTTCCTAAATCCAATAGCACCTGGTCCATACTAATTGCCATCGTCAAACCTTGTGTCAAAAGGTTCCTTAGAGGCACACCATGTTTGGCTTGTAATCAAAGAAAATTTGTAATGTTCATTTTTTTGAATTCATCATCATTATTACTATAATGGTAGAATGCTAGAATCAATGGATGGTAGGGTCATATGTGAGCAAAACCATTAATTCACCATATTTCGATAATCCTAAAATTGGAATTAGAAAATAACCCAAGTAAAATTGAGAACAAAATATAAAAGGCAGAATATTGGTACTGAATATTTATGGTAGTACTTGACAAAATATCTTATCTATAGTAATATAAAGAGGTTGTTGGAAAAATATAAAATTAGTAAGGTTGACTTAAAAAATAAAGTTTTGACTTACTTATTTAAGTAACAATCAAAAGGACCCACACATTAGATTTTAATATTAAAAATAATTCACAATTCTATTACGTAATGCAATTAATAAATCATACAAAATTTTGTGGGAATTTGTTATTTTCACAATGTTCATACTCAGAATATGACGTGCCAACGTAATCGGACTTTGTTACCAAATTTTCAGCATGTATTCCTTTTTATCCCATATTTTGTATTAATCTATAGAGATATGATCCAATTTAAAAAATAAATCATGTATATCTGTTAACTTTGACAGCATATTTTGTGGGATTCTTTGTTTATTCACAAATTTCATAATTTGAACAAACTTTCGCAGATACTCGGTGCAACTTGCCTTAGCAATTATATCGGATTTTGAGAAGTTGGAATATTGATAACAAATGAAACTAAATTTTGTGGGATTTTTTTTTTTCACAAATCAATCGAAATATCCTTATCAAAGTAATCGGATTTTGCCAACTAATTCATTAATAATTATCCTTTTTATTTTGTTTTTTGTACCAATCTCGAGATATATATCCGATTTATGTGGGATTTTATATTTCCTTTACTAAAACCGTACATATCAATATCAATATCAATTTATGTGGGATTTATGTGAATCAAATAAATATGATGATGTAAATATTTTTGGGAAACCCGTGAGTGCCACACCGTACATACAATTGACTATATAAACACCACCAACCTTGAACAACAAATAATCAACATACAATACATTCCACGATAAAAATTTTCCTACAAGCTTTTACAACACCATTCACAATGCCTTTGAATTTTAGAGTCATCAAGGATATCGAAAGATCCAAAAAGCCACCAATCAAGCTACGCATA